CCGCGCATCCCTGCCCCACATCCCTGCCCCGCATCACCTGCCCCGCATCCCTGCCTGCATCTCTGCCCGCTCCGCTGCCGGTGGATCCTGGGCCCGCGCATCGGCTGCCCCGCCGCGCATGCCCTGCCGGCATTGGCTGCCCCGCATCCCTGCCCGCGATCCCGTGCGGGCAGTCCCTGCCCGCAAAAAAATTTTTTTTTTTTTTTTTTTTTCCCCGTTTTGCCCCGCATCCCTGCCCGCATCCCTTACCCGCTCCCGTGCCGCATCCCTGCGCATCCCTGCCTGCAGTCGCCTGCTGGATGCCCTGCCCCGATGCCCTGCCCCGCATCCCTGCCTGCCATCCCTGGCCTCGTCTGCCCATGGCCGCACCGCGCGCCGTGTAGCGGAGCATCATGCAGTGTCTGCATATCAGCGTGTCTGTCCCATCATCATGACCGCATTCATCGCGTCCGCAAACGTCAGCGTCCGCGATCATCAGCGTCCGCCATCTCAGCGACAAGCATCATCAGCGTCCGCATCGTCAGCGTTCCGCATCGTCAGCGTCGGCATTCGTCAGCGTGCCGCATCGTCAGCGTCCGCATCGTCGAGCGTCCGCATCGTCCCAGCGTCGATACGTCAGGTCGTCCGCATCCGTCAGCGTTCCGCATCCGTCAGCGTCCGCATCATCAGCCTCCCCGTCCGCAGGATGATAATGGACCGTAGCGCGAGCGCAGACGATGCGATTAAGTTATTGGATCACGTTGCGCTAACCGCCGTGCGATGTTCGCCATAAATCGCCCCTCAATGGCAAGATTCCCGCGGGGGCGGCGAAGTAAGAAAAACTCGGTCCGAGGATCGCCTCTATGTAAAGCGTGGGGTGGCCTTCGGGAGAATCTCGCGGAAGCCAGGAAGAGAGAGCGAACAGGGCTGCGGTTTGGCGGAGGAGATGGAACAGAGGAGAATGGAGTTGGGAGGAAGATGTGGAAGGAGTAGGCGGAGGAGGAGGAGGAGGAGGAGTAGGAGACGGAGTGAGAAGAGCGACAGTATTAGGTGGGAAGTATGGTGAGGGGAAGGAGGAGGGAGGGAGAAGCGGGAGGCAGAGGAGAGGTGAGGAGGAGGTCACCGTTTACTAAGCCGAATGAATGGGTGGTGGGAATGCGTGTTAGTGAGAAAGGAGCTGTGGTGGGCGGAGATAGGGGTGTGGTCGGGGTTGGTGGTTGTGCTGTAGGGTGAGTAGGTGGTGTGAGCGGAAGGAGGTTGTGAGTGAGTGGAGGATGGTGGGGCGGACGATTTTTTTTTTTTTTCATGCGTGGCGCGAAAAGTGTTGTGGGTGGAAGAGGTATGTGGGCGGGAGAGGGATGTGCGTGTGTGCGGGAGACAGCGAAATTTTTCTCCCTTGACCCGTTCAGCTTATTATTGATTAAATGTGTTTTTATTTTTTGTACATTTACACCAGCAGAGCGAGAGCCGGAGTTGATTTTTTTTTTTTCGCTATTGTTTTGTTCGTGGGACGCATTGTATTTTTTTATTGTGCATTTTGTTTGTTCTATGATTATTATGTGAACAAACCGATCGTAACGGAAATGCCGGAATGGGAGTGATTTGGAGCGGTAGGACGAAACCTACCGAACAGACACCAGATAGCTGAACCATGCAGTTGTGCATTCCACCACAACAGCGAGCAGGGTATAAGCACAGTCAAGTCACCACTGGTCACGAGCAGACCCACGATCACATAGGTTATAATCAATGTACAGGCACAGCGTTACATTCATTGATTCAATACACATAGCCACTGGGCCTGATCTAGTGAAAAGATTAAATTGATCGAGCGGTGTATGCCTTTAATGCACTGTTCTAAGCCTGTTAATTAGTTCCGTGAAAGTATTTGACCTTAACTTCAACAAGTCATCATCTCTTGCATTTCAATGTCTGACTTTTCCACGTTTACAAAAATGCAGTGACATCGGATTCAGTCATCCATTGGAAAAGCATCGATTTTGTTGCTAAGTACAATGTGCTGCTGAAGGGTCAGGAAAAACATTTCGCTGGCGGAAAGGGGTTTGGAGGGCGGGAAAGAGTGTGGGTGGGAAAGGAATGGTGGGCGGGGATGGAGTGCGTGGGCCGGGAGGGGAGTGGTAGGCGGTGAGAGGAGGTGGTGGGCGGGCAACTCGCGTTACTCTTTCGTTCCGCCCGCAACATCACCTAGTCCTGATTCAACGTACTGCCGTTACACATATACCGACGCCCATACAGAATGCCATAAGCCAAGCCGAGGCGGGCAGGTGGCGCCCCCTCGTACTGCCCCCCCCTCCCCGTAATCTCGCCCCCCAGCGATCTCATCCAGCGATCATTCTCCCATGCTACCACACGCTATCATCAATCTATGATGCGGCTCAGTCCCTAACCTATCCGTAGATCACGCCCTGCCACGCAGACACCCGCCATTTACACCGACAGTCATAATCGAGACCTGGCCACACCTGTGACATAAATGATCGATCAATTCTATTCTATTCTATTCTATTCTATTCTATTGCATTCTATTCCATTCCATCCTATTCCATTCCATCGTGTTTTATTCTATTCTATTCTATTAATTCTCTTCTAATCTATTCTGTTTTATTCTATTCTATCTGTTCTGGTCTAGATATCGTGCTTTATTCAAATCTATTCTCTTCCATTTCACGAATTATGCCTAGGCGACGATAGATGATCTCTGATCTTACGATCCGAGGGTCAGCCTGAGCCAGCCGGACCATGTAAAATCACGCGAGATATAACGTGAATTCGAGCGCGCACACACGCTCTCTCTCTCTCTCTCTCTCTCTCTCCGTTTCTCGCAGCAGCAACAGCAGCAGCAGCAGCAGCAGCAGCAGCAGCAGCAACAGC